ATAGAATAAAGGAAAATTTTTCCTTTCAGCCCCTACATATCATTGATTTAGAGGGACAAAAGCTCTCTCGTCAACCAAAACTATAATTTTTAATTAATGTAAAAACTGCCCCCATTAATTTTTATTATTTTTTATAAAATATTGCCCAATTATTTTTTTTTTAATAAATGGGAACCGGGTTTTGGTCCAACTAATTTATAATATGTATCTATAAATTATCTCGTTTATAAATATTAATATTTTATATTTAAAAATGACAAAAATAATTTATTAAAATTATTTAAACTCAAATAATGTTGAAATGATTTAAATTTGCATGTTTAACATGATTCAAGCAACCTTTTAAACCCTTAATCCAATCTGGAGTTAAATTGCTCATCTATTGATTTCAAAGCGAGAAAGAACTGCTCTTTTTTATGTTAATCTTACATGTACTTGTGGGTTAATGCAATACGGGGCTACACCAAGTTTCATTAGTCATTTGTGTATTTAATATTTTAATAATAATTAATAAACAAGTCATGACATTGTTATATTAAAATTCATCATTCTCCTACCTTCAAATTGTACCTATTAAGAAAAAAAAAAAGTATGGGACCTCTCTATCTTACAAATCCCAGAAATCAAAGTTTGTTAATTAGGTGAACCAATACCTCCATTTTCAAGATGAACGGATCTCTCTTTGTTTAAACTAAAAATATTCAAAACACTAAAAAGAGTCCAATGTTATATTATAAGATTGCAAAATACTAGTTTATTAAATAGAGGGTTATTTTTCATTATTAAAAGATTTTTTTAATAAATAAAATTAAGAAATTTTTTAAAATTTAATTATTAATATTTTAAAGTTAAATAGTATAAAACACTTTTTCATATTAAAAAATTGGGAAAGGTCTCTCTCTATTCCACCACGAGCGTCATTGTCAAATTATGAGTTGTTGGGGAATGGAGATTCCAATGCTACATCATCCGTTAGTGTCTTAATTTATGTTACATCAAAACAAGATTATCTGTATTTACCAAAAAAAAAAAAAAAAAGATTATCTGCTCTAACCCTCGTATCTTAAATATTAATATATTATTAAAATAGTACTTGAAGGAAGGAGTTTTTTTTTATTTGTATCCTCTTTTAATTCTTCGTATCCGGGTTACTTTTGGGTGCCACAAGACTAGAAGGGTTCTTAAACTACGTACAATCTACGTTACTTATGTGGTATAAATTAGTAATTAAATTTAAATCTTGATACACAAGTAAAATGACTTCTCCACTCACTCAAGCACGCGTGGATTGATATATAACTTTATTTCCAATGTCATGTTAGTGGCAAAACAATAATTCGAAAGACCTCTTGTAGTCGCACCATTCTTGACCATAAATCAACGTCAAATTCAATAATAGTCTTCAATTTACGTTTTTTTTTTATTAAAAAAATTAATTGATCATAATTTATAATCAATTTTTTATGGATATGGTATTTTTATACTAATTTTTGCATACCATTAAATAAATTTTTTCTTAAATGATCTTAAAAACGTATCACCACATTAATTTGAAGAATTCAAAAAAATTTATTACGTTAAATGCTAATTTTAAAATTAAATTCTTAAACATAATCTACTCCTTTTATTCTTCGTTTTTTAGAGGAAGCACTAGGATTAAAAAAAGTAATAAATTACTCTTGATTTTAGGGATAGATTTGTTTAAAGTATCAAATTGTCCTTTTAAAATTCATTTTTTATTCACAATTTCAATGAATGAGATAATTAAGGGTAAAATAGGAAGATAGCTAATTAATGTTACATTGAAAATTGAAAATAACAATTAGAACGAAATTACAAAATTCTCCTTAAACGCCCGAATAAAACGAAACAGAGGGAGAACAAGACAATATTATTAATAGATCTAATTTTTAAAATTATAATCATTTCCATATTTTAGATTTTTAAGATCTTTTATTTAGCTTAGAAAATGATTCATTATTTTACCGTTTATATTATATTAAATTATAAAATATAAATAATTAGATAAAAAATTTTAATATTAAAAAAGTTACTTTTTATTTACTTTTTATTTAATTACAATTTAAATTATAAAACAATTTTTTTAAATAAATTATACAGCATCAAATGCGGTATGATACGGTGACTTTATCCCATTGTAAAAAGGAAATGATTTTTGTATAATTTTTTTATTTTATTTTTTTATATGATTAGATATGCCATTAAAATAATTAATTTTTTTAATT